CTGGAAGGCAAAAGGGGAAAATACAATGCATTATTCTTAGATTCTGGAGTTGATTTTGCATGCACTTATTCTGGATTTTTTGGTAAACTGATGAACAAAGCTCCACCACTGGCAGAAACACTGCCATTGTTTGCCATAAGAGGAGTAACTGACCTAAATAATTTTGTTTAAAATATATACAGATTCTTATGTAACAGGCACCAAACTACTCATAAGGAAAAAAAAAAGTTATATCCTAAGATATAGGTGAGTTTTAGTTGTTGCTGTCAGCTCTTGAATAGGTTCAACATATTGGCAGGCAGTCCAAACACAGGGTAGTATTTTGGGGTTTGTGGTGCTTTTTTCCCTTACCAACCCAGAGATAATGCAGTTTCCCAAGGGAAAATTTCTGTGTGGAAAGGGAGCTGTCACATTGATTGATGAGGCTCCATGTGACCAGAAGAGATGCCTGTGATCGGACTTGAAAGAAGCAGAACCTAGACCACAGCTAGGAAGGGAGGGCTGTGTCCTTTATGGCACTATGCTTGTAGGAGCCCTTTACTGTCTTCCCTGTCTCTTGCCCAAATCTTCTCACAGTTCAGTGTTTGGAGACTGTTTTTTTTTTTTTTTTTTTTTAGTAGCTGTTGCTTTAGAGAATTAGTGTTTTCCTTTGCCTTGCCTAGGTGTGGGCAGGCTTCCTGCTCAGACCTCCCAAGCGCCTCTGTCACTTGGCTCAAAGGGAGTCAGCAGTCACCTCCTCAAATGCCCCTCTCTCATTCCCACCCATCTCTTGGCCAGTCTCCTGCTTTGCAGGTCATGGATTGCCTAGCACCCACCTGAACCTCTGCTCCTTGAGGCACAGCCCAGATTGCAGCTGCAGTTCTCTCTCTGTTGCTGCCCAGCTGTTGAACCATCATCGAACCAGAGGCATACTCTGTGATCCAAAAATCTCCCACCTGTGGAAGCAATCCAAGAACAAGGCAAATCTCTCCAAGTAGATGGAAAAGCTGCAGGTCAGACAGATGCAGTTACTTCTTAAAGCAGCCAGGTGCTACAGGACAAGGGAAGGGAGGAGGACAGTGCATGTTAAGCTCAACCACAATGCGAGTGCCATGTTGGCAGGGCCCCAATTTAGGGTGAGTGACAAGTGAAGTTTCCAAAATGGTCAATTTGAGTAGCAGCTGGGAATAAATGAGATAACAGTGCTGATGCAATAAGGACCCTTTATGTTCAGAAAGACAGCATTTTTTGAGGCAATGGACTTACCCCTGGATGTTCTTACAAGTAGATTGGAAGAATGTCAGATACAGGAATAGATGGGTCAGTTGTAAGCAAGAGAATAGCTTAGAGAACCTGTACTGCAATGAGAATCCTCTTGATGGGTGCCCGACATGAATGGTGTTGGGGCATGGTTTTCTCTTTTTTCCCTTTGCTGACTTGTTTACACTATATTCAGAAAAACTCAACTTCATCAGTTTTTGGTTATTCGGTCCATAGTAGTTTAAAATTTGTGTAACTGAAGTAACTAGTGTAGTGGATTTGTCACAAATTTGGCTTTGCTTTTAACCTAGAGTCTGCAACAAAATAATTGCAATGAATGACTTGCTATATGTTCTCTCAATGAAATTAATATTTGCTTCCAACTTTTTAAGCTTTTAAAGACAGATCTTTTTAAGACAGATCACTGAAAAACTGGGCAAGAAGTCAGTCTGTGGAAGACCCTTCTAATTATTATTCCCACTGCCACAGTTGGTTAATACTTAACTAAGTTTTGGAAGTGTTTTGGGATGATGAAAGCTGCTTCAAAAAAAGCTAACCCACTACAGTGTCATGACGTGACAAAGTGCCATGCTTCTGAAAGGCTTTAATTGGCAGCCAAAACAACATGAATCCTCTTCGCTCCTCATAAAAAACCAAACTGTTATTGCCAGCACGTCACATCTGCTGCTCAGGTATGCAAAGTCCTTCTTTTGCTGCTGCATTTAAGTAACAGTGAGCAATATGTGGTGTTAGCAATCAACAAAGGCTCAGAATTTCGTCTGTGAGAACTCTTGTAGAATTAGGGCCAATTCTTCAGTGCAGAGTGCTTGATGTTGCAGTAAAGAGGGAGATTGCAGCAAATGAGGGGAGAGGGACCAGCGGGGTGTTCATCCTCTTTAAAAAAAACCCAAAACAAACAAAGAAAAGAGCATTGGTCCAGAATTCTGTAAAAAGTTGAGTATGCTGCTAAAAACAAAGAGCAGAAGTAAAACTTGTGCTGTGAGTGCCCTTTGGATGTTCTGTGGGTCAACTGTGGTGCTGCACATAGTGAGATGCTTTGCATGGAGGTTTGAGATAGGTTGGAGAAGAGCTATATAAAAGAGAAACATGTTCTACCAAATAGGTTGGGTCTGAGTAAAATGAAAGAGAAATTTATGTAGCAGCATGTGTCTTAAGATCATAATACAGTTCCATTGGCTGCAGTCAACCTTTGACACTTCGGAGAGAGAAAGAGGCTTGAAAAAACTTCTAGCATCCATGCTGCAGATCCTGTGGAAAGGGTATCCATGTGACAGATTTAGGAGGTTGCTGGACCTTTTAAGAGGTTGTTAAAACACTTGTGTATACATAAAAGGATTATAATATGCAGATTATACTTTTCAGTGCGTGTTTTTGCCTTACTAGTAATTTCTTGAGACTGTTAACTCAGCAATGTAGTAGGACCAGGTTACAAACCTGAGCCAAATGCAAAACTGGGAGGCATTCACAAGCTGGAGAAGTGAGTTTTACATACTCTCCTTGGGTAAAGAACACTGAAGCTCTCACTACCCTTCCAAAAGGCAAGCAAAGAGAAGCCTTATTTCCTCTGCTCGCTTCATAAAGGCTCTTCCTTGATCACAGGAGCTAGAAAGGGATGTGGGGCTTAGGGAGCAAATAATTTGTAGCACACTGCAGCACAGCCAGAGAGTGACAAGAGAAGGCAGTTATTTCATTATTATTCCTTTTATTTTCTTATAAATTAACATTCTAAAAAAATTGGAATAGAAACACTAAATACAGTATTGCACATAGTGATCTTTGTTAGATGATCTATTATTTAATTTAGTATAGTAATATACATACTGTAGGTACTGAAGAAAACAGGAAGGCTACAAATGAAAACATGCTACTGTATCCTTGCACTTAGGAGCAAAGTTAGGAGGAGAAGACTACTGTTTACATAAATACAAACATGGATTTGAATCAGTGCCATCAAAATAGCTTTACTCTTTAAAGTTTTTTTTCCATAAGTTAGTCGTAACAGCAAATAATCTCTTGTTTTCTCTTCCCCAAATAGTAATGTTATTCCCATCAACACAAAATTTTAGAATTCCATTCTTGGTAATTTATATCCCTGCCAGAAATTACTGTTTCTACAGATTTTCACATAGGTTTATCAGCAACAGGAGACTTGCTTTTCACACAGTGAAAAAAAACATCTTTTCTAGTGCTTGGTATAAGTGAAGAATAACAGATTCCTGAGGTCATATTTTGCACTTCCTTTTATGACACCCTGTAGAGTATATTAGTCTCTGAACAGCTCGGAATGTCTCTTGATGTGCTAGATTAGACAGGGAATAATGCAACCCAGAAGGTTAGAGCTCATTTGCTTTACCCCAGTGTCTTTCAGGCTCCAAAGCTCTAAGCACGTGCATCCGACTGAGTTGCGCACACAGTCTGCTTTCAGGAAAAATCAGCTTAGAAAGAAAAATGTTATCAATCACGCTGATTGGTTTGGGGCTCTTAAATAAGGACTGGAGGAAGGGGTTGTTATCAGCTGAGCAGTCCAAAACTGATACAACAAATTCTGGATTGCAAAAAGGAAGTAAGCTTGTGGTCTAAAATGGAAGCCCTAAGTCATATATTTCAATCATTAACCTCCTAGTCAGGGACACTGAAAGTCTGGAGGAAATGCCTGTAATTCTGTAAGTGTGAAATTGATGTCAATTAGTTGGTAGTCTATGTTCTGTCACTAGAATAGGCTACTGTTTTCCATAAATGTTGTCTCCATGTGCATCTTTTAATAGCTCTCTAAAGGAGTTTTAAATTAACTGTAAAGCTAATTCCAGAAGGGAAGTCATGTACATGTGGCCAAAAGCCTGTGTGACTTAAGTGATCAGCAGTTAAAACTATACTATACCTTCTAAAGTTCATGTAAAAGTATTAGCTGCTTTATATATTAACAAACTATAATAGCCAAATCTCTCATACTCTCTATCATACTTCTGTGCTTTTCTGTTTTTTTTTTTTTTTTTGTTTTTTTTTTTTTTTAATGCTGGATTTCTGACCTCCATACCACCTGGCATTCACTATCTGGCAGAAGATGAAGTAAAAGTATGCTGCCTTATCGATTTTAAACATAGTTACAGTAAACATCTTGTTCCACAAATATTTAGTTATGGAGGGCAACCAAACAGGTTGGGAAAGCATTGATTATACTGTATAAACAGCACTTAACAATTCAAAATACAAACTACAAATGCCAACATGAAACGGATACAAACAATTCACTAGGAGTAACATTTCTTTCCCTAAACTAAGTGCAGTGCCATGAAGTATTTGTGTCAGATGTTGCCAGTAGGAATGGAAATGTTTTACTGTACCAAGTAGCATTCTTATGAAGTTCAACTTAATGCAATCTTCAGCATGTTCAGAACTGATGCAGATACCACTTTTTATGCATGCTGACTTGTCCTATTTGTAATATACCATACACTTTACAAAATACCATTTTTGAGTGGCAAAGGAGATACAGAGTACAGGGAAGGTGTTTCAAGCCCATACCTAGTCTATTTCTGGGCACTCCATTAAAGTGATTACATTCGTGAATGAATGCACAATAACACATCAGTTGGTGGAAAACTCTAGAGAACAAAACGCAAATTTTAAACGGTCAAGGAATCAAATGATCAGGATGATGGAGTTTCCTTCCCTCTCACTCCCCACCCACAGTCATGTTGAATTTTGGTAACCAGGTAACAATGGTTTTTGAATTTCTTCTCTCAGATTTTCATACTTATCTTTGCTTTCTGAAAAATAAAATAAATTTTAAAAATAATGACAAAATTTGAGTACACAAAACCACCTTACACAAATATGAAAAGCATAGAAATACATAGGCAAATGTTTGATTATATTTACTGCAGAACTGACTTCACAAATAAACTTTGAAGCTAGAACTGAAGTAGACTACAGCTATACACTGCTTGTGAAATATTTTTGTTTACTTTCCTTTTCCCTCATCAAATTTTCACTAAGACTGAAGGTCCCTGTTTCAGTGCAAATGATACAGGAATAATTAAACAAATAGTTATTTCTTAAAAGAAATCTCTCAGTGTCTTCATATACAGCAGCATATAAGGTAGATGGAGAAATGCAAAACAATGTTAATTTGGTTTTTTTTTTTTTTGAAATAAAATGTTGATCTGCTTTTAAATAAAATTGATAAAATGTAGTTTATAACTCCTTACCAAGCTAGCACTCCATTTACATTTCTTGTGGCACTAGCTAAAGTCAACTCTCACTAAACATTCAAAATAAGAAACAATAAATGCAATATTATTGCTTCCTGTATCAAATTATGTTAGTTAGAATACAGTAAATTACCTCATGCTTCATTTAAAAGATGTGTCACAGAATCTGACTACACAGCTATGACTACAAAGTATGAAATAATTAAGTCATGTCTCGAGGTAGTGGGGAGCAGAGGAAACAGAGAGGGACACAGACACATGAAAAAAATCTTGTAATATTTTTCAAACATAAATGATGGCCAGTTGCTACAGTTATGAATTAAATGTGAGGTACCAGAATAATTTTTTCTGTAAAATCAGTCATGATCCTTACCATCGTTAGGCAATCATAGGGGAAAGGTTTCATTGAATGACCAGAATTACCCCTCTATTACCAGTGAAATAATTTGTTTTCAAAAGAATGGTGGAGGCACAGTATTATCTTTTTCTAGTGTTTCTATTCCAAACAAATCTATATCAGTGGATCAGAAAACACTGTATCTGATACAGTGATCCGGCTTGAAAAATGTGTAACTATCAAAATTCTTCCTTTCATACTGTATCTGTACAAAAGAGAGTGAATACAAACTGAAAAAGCTGGAAGACCAAAACTGCCTTTCTGCCTTCTGTGTGCATCCTACACCAAGACTGGGAAGAACACAGATTGGCACAATGGGGCAATAATAAACTGCTCTTGCTTGTACTACAACTATTTTGTGGAGTAATATTCATAGGCAGATTTCAAGTTTGTTAATTTTCCTTTAAGGAAAATATTAAACATTCAAGAAAAAAAGACCAAAAAACAACCCAGAACAAAAACATGCATCAAGAATAACCTACCTATAAAATGCAAAGAGAAAAGATAGAAGAAATGATATAAACAGAAGTATCGCTACAAATTTTACTTACAATTCCAGAGTCATGTTTTGGTCTAATATTGTATAGCGACTTCCCCTTTTTCTGCCTGCAGACTTCCTCTGCTTCTTTGACTCTGAAGAGAGACAAAATCTATAAATACTACTGCACACCAAGAACATTTACAAAGACAATGCAGTATAAAACTTACAAGTTAAGGCCTGAGGACACAAGTGGATAATTTTATTCTCCATATATTCATTAGCATGCTCCACAAAATAGTTCTTGCACTCCAGGGCTGTTGTAGCCATACCCAGCACTTACACGGACAGGCATAATCAATTGCATAATCAATTCTAGTTACAAAAGCAATCAGTACTTACTGCAGCTGAAGATTCAAATGTATGAGGGCTTAAAATACACTGGATGATATGAAGTTTACATTTCAGAGCATTCATGCACATATTGCTAAGAAAACTCCTTTTCTTTTTATCACTGTTTAAAATATATCTTCATCTATTCCAACCCTCACTACTTCTCTTACAGTTTAAACAAAGTTTGTTTAAGCTATGTTCCCCTCCACCCATTTTTGTTTGTATTTAAAACGGCAAAATAGCTTAACCTAAATTTCCAGTCTTTACTCTAAACTTTAAAACCAAAAAAAAAACCCAAAAAAAACCAAATTAAAATTTCCATGGAACATGATGTTTAACCCAAGGTGATGAATGTGACAGCATGGATCTCTTTAATTCCAAAGCTGAGGAACCTCAAGGCTTACATGACCATTGGGAATGAATGCACTTTGGCTGCTTGGATGTAAAGACAGGAGCAGGTTCTAAAAGTAAGGGTCCACTTCTTAGTGCTTCCTAATATGGCAAACACTACCAAATTAGGATCTTGTGAAATGCCACCACATTTTTGGTGAGAGAAATGTCCTTTTTTGTCATGTAGATAGGAAACAAACTGTGAAAGACAGAGGACTACATTCAGATTGGGAACCTACCAGAATCCAGCTTATGAGTTCAATGTCACACTGTAAAATGTTTCTTTACAATTTTCACTCATTTTATATATCAACCTTGTAAACACACATGATTGCTAGAACACTGATAATACAGATATTTGTTATGAATTCTCTGAGCTGCAAAGACTTATATAAACACTTTCTATAAGAGAAAATTAAATCATGTGAGATATTTATGTTCTTTGAATGAGAGATGAGAATTTTTGTGATAAATAAAAAAGTAGAAAACAAAAATGTAAATCCTGTATTGGCTTGATCTTGCCAAAAATACGGATTTGAGATGGCACTTAGTCTGACTTTTCACCATTATCCAAGAGTGAAAAAAGAAACAACAGTTGAATGATATTAAGAAATCATATATCCTTGGCTGGTTCCTTGCAGTTCATCTCCAGACCACTAGTATGCCTGTTATTTCACTGTGAGAATCCAACTTTGTGTTACTATTATTTTTGAATATTTTTGTGTGTGTGGTAAGGGCCAAAACTTTGAAAACTGAACTCCAGCTGAGTCTGCTAAGCACATTAAAAAAAACCCCTTCATATTCATCTCTACTTTACTTCACCAGATACACCTTGGTCTTTTCATAAGTTTCAAATTTATAGTTTCAAAAATTAATTTAAATGTCAGTTATTTTCCAGCACTTCCACAACCTGCCCTCTTCATTTGATGGCCTTGTATGTTGTTAGTGTAGGGAGACCTTCATGTGCACAGGTCTGAGGGAAAAAAAAGCTTTGGAACTTGTTATTTCAAGCTGTAATGCTTCCTCTCTGACTGCAAATCAGACAGATTGCAGCATAATCTAGAACAAAAATGTCAAGCAGCCAAGTAATTCACCCTTAAAATATATTTAAGTAGATTCAGTAAAGGTGGCAGCTAAAACGTGGTGATAGTTTCAAATAGAAACTTAAGGAAATGATGCAAAATGAAGAAGAATTCAAAGGTATTTTCTTTTCTCTATAACAATTTTTCTTCTGCTTCATGTCTACCTTTCTCCAAAGGAGGAAAAGAAATCTGTGACATTGACCTTCCCATGGTCTTTTCTAAATATTCAGACACATTCCAACCTATCAAAAGCCACTCTTACAAAGTCAGATATAAAATAGCACATCTATCATATAATTTCCTCTTTTTCAAATACAAGTATAGCTGGCTGCCTTCACTGTAGACATCATTTAAATAACAAAATGAAATCTTACATGTGAGTAAATTAGTATCAAATCCCTGAACATGTACAGGGACTATACAAGTACTATTGATATTTTAAAAATGACTATTTTATCGAAGCAGTGTAATATATGCAGGTATTTAGACTACTCAACATGCAAATGGCAGCATATGTAACATACAAAAATATTTACCAAATCAGTTTTCACAGATCCGGACTACTCAACATGCAAATGGCAGGGAATCTTCAATTCCAGTCTTTGTCCCACTTAAACATCCCCCTTCCAGGATGGATTACCCACTGCCTGCTAATATACCAGGTCACGAGACAACACAGCTCTCTGTGGGTCTCATGTTAATTCAAAACAAAAATCCTCATACAGTAAGGAACCCTTGCCACCCTTGATAATGCAGCTCTTTTCTAAAGACCAGGTCCCATTAAGTGTCACTGTCAGTGTAACATCTCTACATATTCTGCTCCAATTAGAGAAACAGCTTTTTGGAGAAAGGCTGTCTCTACTTGAAACAGCAAAAGGTTAATAACATGCCACCCTGTGAAGAAGGGAGTCAGAACTTGTGTGTCCCTGAGACAGCACTTCAAAAAATGATCCACAACCTCCAGACTGATAAGTTACAATCTTAAGGCTGTGTTTCCCAAATTTCCAGTATTATGTAAGAGATGCTGGTCTCAATAGTACGGTTGTGGTTCTCAAGGTTTTGGGAGCTTTTATGAAATTCCTTGGAGTTTGAGCCTATTTATTCATACCAAGGGAAATACAGAAGATGAGAAGCATTACTCCCTAATGCACTTAAGGCTGAGAGCTAGCAACCACTCAGTTCCAGTTCCAACCATATCACTGACTCACTGTGTGGGTTTGGGACAGTCCACAGCCTCCTGGCTCACATCCTGCTGTCTGTGTAGGAAGCTGCAAGTGGTTGGATAGAGACTCAGTGAAACCCATGTGACCCATAACATATGCTTCTTCAGCAAGAAATGCCCTGAGAAATGTAAAGGTAGTGCACCAAAGGCTCATTTCAAGCAAGTTTAGTTTGTGACCATATTAAATGTGGAAGCATGGAGAAGTGTATAAATCTACAGCTGTATCTAAAAAAGAAAAGCCAGCAGACTGGTGAAATAGAGGCAAAGCCAACTATTAGCCTTCCACAGGGCCAAATCATAAACCAGTGAGTGTAGTTAGCAATTTTGAGAGTGTGAAAATACATTTTGCGAAGGCTGATCATTCAGCTTAATTAATATTTTATTAAATGTAAAATTAAAATAACTTAATCCTTCTGGAAGAGGAAAAGGATGTGTTTTGTAGGAGCATCTGCACTGTTTAAACTGTGTGATCTGGAGAAACAGATAAAAGGTTACCTTCGAAGTAAGGGCAATAGTCTTAGTCCAGTTGGAAAATAATTGCCACTGGCAAGTTTTTGTCATCTTAGGTTTTCTCTATTGGCCATGAATGTGTTTTTCATCTTTGCATTAAACTAACAAGACGAAAGAAAAAGCACATTGCTTGTCAGCTCATGGCTGGTTCAAGCCATATTTCTCACTATGGCAAGCAAATCCCTGTGTACCTTCATCTTGCTCAGGCTTTTCCTGAGCTACTTCCCACTGACTTCAGTGGGACCTGGATCAGCATGGAGGTGCAAGAAATAATCGAAGACAAAAAAGTGCAAAAATTGCATGAATACTACTGATTATGAGTTAACTCAACTGTGGTGAGTTGACAGAGCTTTATGAAGAAACTAATGGACCTAATTCAATAATGGGAGGAGGAAAAAGGATTTTTGGAGAAAACAACAGAAGACTCCCAACAGTCACAAAAGGAGAAGCAATAGCAACACAACAACATATTTCCAAGCTCCAGTCCAAAATGACACTACTACTGTGCCAATGCAGAGCTCAAAGAGAAAAAAAAAAAAAAAAAACCAAAACCAAAAACGGTTAAAAAGATATTCCTAGGAAAGGGGTGGGTATTCAATTGTCAGGCCTTCTGTGGAAAAATAGGCTGCCACTGGAGAGACTGTGGAAGAAAAGTCTGAGGAAGGTGAGTGTTCCCCAATTGCTGAGAATTATAGCGCTTAAGCAAAAGCAGGCATGTGATTGATTTATTGTTCTGAAAATCTGTTTTTACTTAAACTATTTAGTTCTTCCCTACTAATACTTTTCTGTTAGGGAAGCTTGTTTGGTCCCCTTACAGAGCCATCACTCTCAATGGCAACCAAATCCTCAGAAGCAGGACAGATCTTCCAGGCAAGATCTGAGAGTGAGAGAGGAAGATGGAGGTGGAGAAGACATGGTGTGCTCTTGGAGAAACCAGGTGGTACCCTTAACTTGCTAAGTGTGGTGGGAATGACTTGCAAGATTGCAGTGTGCTAAACTTTGCTAAACTGATGCTCAAACTATCCCACTTCATACTTAACAACCACTTCTCAAAATCATTTTATTTCGCCAAAATGACTTTGGTTCATTTACTATCGATCCCTGTCCCATCTTATGCCAATTCTGGCTCAAAAGTGAGCATATTAGTTTGACAGAAAATATAACATCAGCTGTGTTACCTTTGGCAATTTTTGCCTCTTATTCCTTTCCCAAGTAGTTTCTTGATTTTGTCTTAGTGAGAACATAATTCTACAAAAACCAGAGTTCCCAGCCTAGACAACCAGAGAGTTGATTAACTCTCACTGTAGTAATCTGAAGAGCAGAGTTATTCAGGCCCAGGACAGATTCTATAAATACCTGTTAAAGTGTTCATCACTTGAATCTCCTTAAATAATAGATTTAGCTAAAGCATTTCTTGCATTATTTCAGGAAGAATATACTTCCAAATAGCCCCAACAATAAGAAAACATGTAGGGAATATAGAACATAGGGCATTAGTGGATCTGTTAAAAAAAAAATTAAACAAAAAAGCTACAAGGGAATGAATCCCAGTCACTTA